CAGTGGATACGGAGACGTAGTTGTATTGTGGCTTGGCGGCTGTTGAGCGTTGGATATTGGATAGGCGGAGTGGGACAGAGCCGTGGGCTTTGATTTGTTTTGAGAAAGATGAGCCAGTGGTGGTGGTGCCGGCCCAGATGTCCTTGATGGTCGCGGAGGCAATACCCAGGTCGGCCAGCTGGATGGTGAGGGTGCGGCCAGTGTTGCTGAGGTCCACAGCCAAGACGGCCATGTCTCCGTTTGCGAGATCTCCCGCCCAGAGATCGCGGTCGCCAGACCATCGTTGGCGGAGGGTGACTGGCTTGACAGCCGAATCCTGGTTGATGGCAATGAGATCTTTGTTCTGGAGGACAGTGACCAACTCGTTTGACAATGCCGCAACATCAGTTGAGATCATTAGCGCAGACTTGAGCATAGCCCATGCAGCGAAATGTGTGGCTTGTTCGTCGAAAGACATGGCAGAATTGCCAACCTCAAGTAAATCGGCATCAGCAATGTGCCCTGGGCCTACATTGCCGGATTTGGCGATATGGATAGCTTGGTTGTAGATTCGGAACATCGAAGCCCAGCCCGAAGTAATGTCATCTGACAGACGGAAGGAGGTAGAAATACCCTTGGTCCACTCATCAGGTCCCTCTAGACCAGCGGATGTAGAGTAGGGGACACCCCATTGGCAGATCAACATCCCGGGAATGCCAACCTTTTGCAGCTCCTTCCACATGGCGCCCATTCGAGTGACAAAGTCGGTTCTGGCATTCTTTGGGGCATTCTGGCTAGCGTTAGGTCCATCTGCATAGCAGTTGTCGTCTATGTGGCTGTCAGCTTTCTGTTGTTTCTGTGTGTGTTTTGGAAACACATACATTTGACATATTCAGTTCCAAGCGATTTGAAAAAAGCGGCATCTGCGGCCTCATGACCTAGAGAGCCCAAGACTGGACTTGGCGACTGAGGGTCACACATCCTCACGCCTGCGTCTGAGTACATGGTCCACTTCATTCCCTTGGATCTTGTTAGGTCGGCTAGTGGCTGGAGTCCGTTAGGGAAGGCGTTCAAATCCACTTTCAGGGCACCGTTGGTAGAATTTCGCTGTCCGTCCCTAGAAGCCCATCCGCAATCAATCTGGAAGTACTTGTAGCCTGCAGCAACAAATCCTCGGTTGGCAAGAGCGTTGATGGTCGTGGTGATTTTCTGGGCGTTGGGACTGCATGACATTTGGTTGTATGAGTTCCATCCCATCACGGGTGTTTGCTGAAACGACTGGGCTGCCACATGGGAGGCACCCGCAAGGGAGAGAAGAAACGAATTGGTCCAGATCATGGTGAGGCCTGTAGTGAGTGAGGGTGTTCGTTGGGAGGTAGCATATCGTCTTCATGACTGTTCCCTACTATTTATACTACATCTTCGTCCAATTTCATTTATGAAACAACGACTGACGATCAATGATTTGCCGGTGGCTGACGCATGATGCCGGCTGCATGTCGGGACGACTGCTCGGTCAGGCAGTCCTTGCGCCTTGTGCTCTAATTGTGCAGAGAGAGGGTGGCCATACAGAGTGAGAGCGCAACATCTTTTTTCCGCGGAATAATTTGGGAGATCCTCAGAGCCCCATCACTGCGGAGGCTAGTGACGGTTAAGAAGAAGCTTAGCAAGGGGCGACTCCACACTCGGCCTACCGCCTTGATTACCCCGCGTCTCGTCAAACCTGCCGTCATCCATGTCCGCTTCTCTACCTCGCTTTACTCAACTTGGTATTCCGCTGTCGAACGGTCCTGTACATACAACCTTACTACGACTACATCGTCATCGTTGACTGTTGTGCATATGATTTCCCGTATCTCAGTCGGCCTAAACGCCGTGATCGCCATTCATGGACCGGGCACGTGGACAAAGTGGGTCATTTCTCGCTAGGGCGTGGGGTTTACCCTTCGGTTCTGGGGAAGAGTGTGGAGTTTGAAGCAATCGGATGCTCCAAAGACTCCACAAGCTTTCCTCCAAGGGATAATGACACGCGGAGCATATTCCGAGGCTCTATTCTTGGCGCGTTTATAAAGTGGTGTAAGTCGCTGTCAGCTCCTCGTACAGTGTTAGCACCTCGTACAGAGTCAGTGGGGCGGGGCACTTATCAACACTGGATGAATACGATTGATCCTGTGCCCATCTTCTCCAAAATTCTATCCAGTCTATCTCGGCAGTTATGGCACGCAAATACCTAGGGGGCTCCGGTGAGCGATTGACTGTATGGATTTCAATTGCTGCAAGTACAGTGCTGGTGTAAGCAATACCTACAGATTCCTTTATATCTGGCTGCTCATTTTAATTAGATTTTACGGTTACGACCAAGGCGTCTTTGGCAATGTCATCATTTCAGGAAACTTCCTTCAAACCTTCGGCCACCCGTCCGCGGACATGCAGGGGACTATGACGTCCATCTATAATATCGGGTGCTTCATTGGTGCGATGAGCACTGTATGGACAGGTGACATTCTCGGACGACCACGACAAATATTGCTAGGTTCAGCGATTATAGGGATCGGGGCTATTATCCAAACATGCAGCTGGACTGTCGCGAGTATGATGGTTGGTCGTATTGTTGCTGGGCTTGGCACCGGCATGAACACTTCAACTGCCGGTGTATGGCAAGCAGAAACGAGTAAGATGAACAGCCGAGGAAAGCTTGTCATCATTCAGATGGGTACGTTTCAAAGGTCTGTATGTTATCACAACAAGCGACTGACCATATGCATAGCCAACTGCATCACTGGATTTAGTATCTCAAACTGGCTCACTCTCGGCTTCTCTTTTGCGCCACGCGACATTGCATGGCGCTTCCCGCTTGCCTTCCAAATCTTCTTCACACTCTGTATTTTTGCCATGTGTCCCTTTCTACCAGACTCGCCGCGTCTCCTCATCCGAAAAGGAAAGCACCAAGAAGCCCTAGAAGTTCTTGCGGCACTTGAGGGCCATGGAGCCACACCCGAGTCAGCTTCAGTTATTACCCAGTACAACATCATCAAAGACATTCTGGATCGCGAGCATATGAACACATATACTTGGGTGCAGCTTCTCACTGGGAAAGGGCCAAGTGGTGTATTGCGACGCATGCTCTTGGGGGCGTACATGCAAGCAATGAACCAAATTAGCGGAATCAACGTAACTTCGTACTACATGAGTTACATTTTCATCAACGCTCTAGGTATCTCAGAACTGCTGTCGCGTATCCTGGCCGCAGCAGGTTCGGTTGATTACCTAATCTTCGCTTGTCTGGCATACTTTGTCATTGAACGGTACGGGCGCCGGAAGGTCATGATGGTTTCCGCGGGCGCATGCTCCATCTGCTGGATTGTCATAGCGGCATCTCAGGGACAGACGGAAGCTGGTGGAGACAAGTACAAGCTTGGAATAGTCGCTGTTTCATTCTTCTTCGTATTCTTCGCTAGCTTCGGTATGGGTGTTCTAGGTGTTCCGTGGCTATATCCTACGGAGTAAGTTCTTGTCTCACACTGTTAAGAACGTAAGCTGACATGGTCTATAGGATCAATGCGCTCGAAATGCGAACAAAAGGCGCATCGCTTGCCATGGGTATGTTTGAGCTCCCCGGCTAACCTGTAAACGAATAGCTGACAAACGAAAAGCCACTAACTGGATCTGCAACTATGGTGTTGTGCAAGCTACTCTTCCAGGCATCCAGAACCTTGGGTACAAGTTCTGGATCATTTGGGCCGTTATCTGCTTCTCTTTCATCCCAACAACATACTTTCTCTACCCAGAGACGGCTAATCGGACCTTGGAAGACATTGATCGCTTCTTTGAAACGAAACCCGGCATCTTTGTTCATCGCAATAAGCTTGCTGTCCAACTACATCGTCCTATTGAATTTATTGAGGCTGACGAAAGAATCGCCGCGCATGAACAGACGGAAATCTCCAAAGAGAACAAGGAAATGAAGGCGGAGTACGTGGAGAAGAGGGAGACTGTTTGAGGTAGCTGGATCGTGAGTATCCTGGTATTGGGCACGCCTAGACTTCGGTTCCAGTAGAGCGGGATACACTCCCAAACGTTAAGCGAAACGGTCCCAACGTTTTTGGACATCCATTCAGCGCATCTTAATTTTATTCCCCAGTCCTTGCGATTGATCGGGCAGCTTTGTTAATTTGGGGGCACTCGGGTCGCGAGTCAGACGTAACCTACACGATCAAAAGAGTAGGGGTAAAGTCAGCAGCAGGGGTATCCGTCTTCGAAAAAAAGCTTTAGTACACAATGCTTCCTCGTACAGCTAATATACACGATACAAGAAGCGAATAAGCATCTGTCGTATTGCTTAAGTGGAGAAATTGCGGACAACCACCCGCCAATCCGTGGCGTGATTGTGCAACTGTAGATTTTGCACCAATTCTATGTATGAATGTATGCGGAAACTATGCCGTTTCGAGGGTAGCGCTGCATGGTGAGGGGAAAAGCATGCGGAAGGGAAGCTAGATAAGTGTAAGATCTTTAAAAGGAATGCAATATATCAATCAAAAATAGAGCGGTGAGGCTTGAAGCTTTTATGCTGGTTTATGAACGACCAAGAGATGTGACCGACGTTTGCCTCTCTCCAGGATTGCAGAGTGAAACATGATACATTCGTGCGGAAAAGCTTCTCCTGATAGTCTGTGCGCTGAACGATGTACCCCAGCATAGCTGATACCAATGCTTACTTGCAAAAAGCTTTGTCGGCTTAATCTTAACTGCCGGCCATTGCGGTGCTGCAGCTCGGTACTTTCTCTTGAAATGACGTAGTTGATTTCATGCATTGATTTAGGATGGTGCCAAAAATAGCCACTTCAGTGTTATTGTGGTCGCTGGTGAACAGATGAGTGAGCTGTAACGAGGAACATTCGCAGGAACCGAGAACAGAAGGTAAACATCGCATTGGTTTCACCCTGTGTCTTTGTTTATTCGTGTCTAAATACCAAAAACTTGTTTACCAATTACACGGTACTTATCATCAGTTCCAGCATCTATGGTTCGTTACAATAACCATCGACAAAATCAATCGTCAATGTGTTCCGTTTCTCTTTCAGCAACGTCTCGCGTCCAATGCTTAGTAACTTCGAAACATCCTGTCGGCAATCTAGACAAAGTCAGCCTTTACCCTTTGACCGCGAAAAAGATGGGAATGATTACCCAAAAACAGTCCTCGTAGTTCCTTGCCTTGGCCGCTTGCCAGCCACGCACATGTCTGTCCGCAAAGCGACGGGTCATCCTTGAACAGGTGCTTGAAAAATTCTTCATCCGAGACACTCTTGCCATACTTCGCCGTCACATCCTCTCCAACAGCAACTTCGTTGCGTTAGCGTACCGGGAACCTTACAAAGGCAGCGTATAAACTTACCTCCACCCATGTTGCCTCGCACACCACCTGGGTGAAGCGCATAGATGTGAATTGCAGGATCCAACTTTTCCAGCTCCATCTCTTTCTGCAGCGTATGCGTTGCACGGATGAGCGCTGCTTTGGAAGTCCCGTATCCAAGCGTCATAGGCACATCCACGGTTCCAGATCGTGACGCCAGGTTGATGATGCAGCCGTGTCCACGGTCGCGCATTTGCGGCAGAACAGCGTGAATGAGCATCAAAGGCTAGTAAGCAGCACGTTTAGCTCAAGTCGTTCTTTCCCACCATATACTTTTCAACATGCACCAAGAACTAGACGGAGAATGAATGAAGTGAACTTACAGCCTTAAAATTAACCTCAATCTGCTTCCAGAAACCCTCAAATGTACTCATAATAAACGGCCGCTGATCGAATATGCCCGCATTATTCACTAGCACGTCAATCGGCCCTAGTTGCTTCGTCACCTGCGCCACAACTTCCTTCACTCGCTCCTGATCCCGCACATCACACCCATATGCTTCTACTTTGACGCCAAAGGATAAACATGTCTTTTTGGTTTGATCTAGCTTGTCGACGCTGAGATCCAAGAGGGCGACGCTGGCGCCGGATTTTGCTAGGGATTCGGAAATGGCCGCGCCGATACCCTGGCCTGCGCCCGTTATGAGGGCGATTTTTCCGGAGTTGGAGCCTTGGAGGGCTTCGGGGAGGATGGGCCCGTAGGGGACATGTTGTAGGGGAAGAGTACTGATGCCAAATTCTGCGGGATCCATGGTGGGTTTTGGTTTGTATCGAAGATAATATACTTTGAGGGGTGTGTTTGTTGTTGTAAATAGCAATTGCTATCTGAACTACTGCTATTTGAATTCAAAGCGCGGGACGGTACTCTTCCGAACATAAGTGTCGGTTGTGTGGGGTAAGTAGTCTTGGAATAGTTGTAGCCCCACATGATGGTGTGGGGTAACAGACATCAATCATTGCCGGCTTCAATATACTGTTGCTTTTCCTTTGGGATACGAAGATGTCTTTGATCATCTCGGTAAGGAAAATCTCTTCTTGCTGAAGAAAAGAATGTGATTGATGTCGATAGGCGTGACACAAAGAACTTACGCGTGGTGTTAAGTAGCAGCCCCCAAAGAAGGTTGGGTTGTGGTACTTGTCGCTTTGAATTTTGTCAGTTACAGGACGCACACGTGCTACCTGAAATGATAATTCAATGACATGATAGGCCATGCTGAGCCATGAGTGACGACATAGACATTACCTGTAAAAGATGGAAACCGAAGCGGAAGGAATGCGGTGACCCTATCCAAGCCTCCAGTGGGTTTCATCAACTATACAACACGGGAGAAGACGACGCAAAAATTCAGGCATGGAGAGAAGTGATTACTCAACTGTTACTGAGAAGCCGCATATTTCGCCAAAGCGCCTCTGATAGGCTGCGAAACGAGTTGGCCTGCCTACGTACGGGTTGAGTAAGCATGATGCTGCCTTAGAAGCGGCAAGCCTCTTCGGTAATGCAAAAAGACTCCACTTTAATGCGATACCTACCTGGATACTGGAACTTGGATGGCTTTATCGGGAAATATCTAAAATGTAAGGCTTCCAGCTCGTTCAACGTTGGTAGTACTTGCAATCCAGATAAGTCAGATAGGCGGTTGATTGGCATGTTCCAGTCAGCTGTACTTTGCAGATATATTGCAGTATAAGTAAGGTGGAGGTTCTATACTCAGTTTCTATCGCCGATTATAGGATACTCTACTCAGCTGCTCTTCAGCAATGGTATTTACACGCGGAGGACATCTCGCTTCACTACTAGCTGTACTGGCCCTCTTTGTCGAGTCGGCTATCGGCGAAGCAAACTGTGAAGCATCTACCTTTCAAGATGTGAAGCTCTCGAATGGAAAGATCCTCAATATCGTCACACAATTCCATACAGGCCTTTCGTTCGAAGCCCCTGCAGAAGCGAATCATTACTCGGTCAATGTGACAGATCTTGACGCCTGCGAAGTAACTATCACTTACACCTATCCCGGCTACAACGATACCATCAACACTTCAGTATGGTTGCCCGCTCACGGAAAGTGGACTGGACGATTTCTCGGCGCAGGGGGTAGTGGGTGGTCCACAGGGCCGGACACTAATACCACACTTCCTTGGGCAGCCAGTGAAGGCTTCGCTGTTGTCGCAACCGACGGCGGACATACTGGTGGAGATACCGAGTGGTCGCTAGTGAGTCCCGGAAACATCAACTGGATCCTTTTACAAGATTTCTCTTCAATAACATTGAATGATGCTGCGACCCTTGGGAAAGCTGTTACCGAAAAGTACTATGGTAAAGCACCAAGTTACAGCTACTGGAATGGTTGCTCCACTGGTGGAAGACAAGGACACATGATGGCGCAGAGATATCCGGATCAGTACGATGGGATTCTCGCGGCTGCGCCAGCAATATATTGGAGTCAGTTGATGCTGCAGCTTTTCTGGCCACAGGCTGTCATGAACGAGAATGGTATGGGTCCCATCGAAAGCCTAGGATGTCCTTGCTGATGTCTGTCAGGCTTTCCTACTCCATGTGAGCTGGAGGTCATCAATACAGCTGCCATTCAAGCCTGCGATAATCTCGACGGTCTCGAAGATGGTATCATCTCTCTTCCTAAAGAGTGTTCTTTTGACCCAGCAACTGTCATAGGAAAGGAATACATTTGCCCATCATCAAACAAGAGCACGATAATCACAGAAGCCGTGGCTACAGTAGCCCGACTCATCTGGCAGGGTGCAACCACATCCGAAGGCGACTTTCTGTGGTACCCGGATAACATCGGCGCTCCCTTCGGCGGCCTCGCTAATACGACATGTGAAAATGGCACATGTACTGGCGTCCCGTTCTTCTTACCCGAAATCTGGATCAGAGACTTCCTTACTCTTGATCGCAAATTTGACACCGCGCAGATTAACAGAACATACTTTGAGGAGCTCTTTCACCAATCCGTTAACCTCTACGACTCGATAATAGGAACCTCAGACACGAATCTTGACGGCTTCCGCAAAGCAGGTGGAAAACTGATCAATTGGCAGGGACTTGCTGACCAGTATGTTTCACCTGATACCACGACACACTACGTCAAAGAGGTGCATGACCGCGACTCAAATGCGAGTGAATACTATCGGTTTTTCGAGGCGCCGGGTATAAACCATTGTGGTGGTGGACTCGGATGGTATCCTGGCGAAGGGCTGAAAGCGCTCATTGAATGGGTGGAGAATGGCGTGGCTCCAGAAACGCTTGCAGCGGAGACATCAAAGGGAGGAAATGCGAATCTCTGCTTGTGGCCAAAACACTTGGTATATATTGGGGGTGATCCGGATGAGTCGACTTCGTTCGAATGCCAGTAGACCGGTAGGAGATCTCAGGGGTTGAGTTAGATCCCAGAATTAGTACTGATCTGAGCCCAAACGATGTGGGCTGTAGAGCAAGGAAACAGTAAACCATATCCCCGAAGAAAGAATGATAGAAAGAGCTTCCAAGAGCTATCTTCATATTTTTAAGAGCTAACGGTGAAGCAAGTACTCTCACTTGTCCCAACGAGACTCCCAACCTATGACGTTCTTATCGTTACTTATCGTCACGTGTGTCAGCATCCCACCATTGAGCTGGCATGATACGTAGCTGAACCTCATCATTCCTTGCACTGCTCGAGATAAGAATTTACTTCCTTTCTGCCTATAAAATGGCCGGATTACCTTCTCTCCCCACGGAGCTCTTGCAGCAAATTGCTTCTTCACTACCCTGCTCCTCAGTCCTCAACTTACTTCGCGTCAACCACCAGCTACACAAAGCATACAACGACCGTCTAGTCTTTCAGCGATTAGCAAAACGCGATCTGAACTACTCTCCCCTCTCCAAATGGGGCATCCACAACACAGTGAAACTAGTCGAAGACGACGACCCCATTCTGACCACCGCCTCGCTGACCGAAACAATCCGCCTCGCCTTCGCAGCTGAAAAATGCATCCAATCCACCACCCAAAACTCCTCAGCCTGGGTCTTCAAAGTCCAAAAGCACACGAGGCGCTTCGCCATCCTCGACTGGCTCCCCCACATGATGGCCCTGGACCACTCTGCCACAAACAACTTGAAACCCGAACCCTTTCTCATCCTCTACAACGACCTGCTCATGTATGAAGCTCCAGAAAACGATCTTATTGCTACAAACTTTATCATGACGTGTACGTTGCTGCACCAACTCCGGTACTGCGTCGACGCGAAGAAGCAAGTCAAGAAACCGCTGGATAAGCACTTTGAAGCGAACCCCGCCAGATCCATCCCCTCACATGCTGATTCAATCACGCACCTCCGCAACCACGTCCGTAGGTACGGCAGATTTAAACAGAGCTTCCATCTCGACCAAGCTGCTGCACTGCTGCCGACTTTCCTCTTGGAACTAGCCGTGTACCGGCTTTTCCCAGAGCAGTTGCGGCGCCAGCTGCCCTCGGTGTCATGCATAGGGTTTAGATCAAACATGCGGATCCCGCCCGTCTTCTCACAGGATAGCTCCGGCACTTCGTTTGCAGAATGCCATGTGGAGAAAATGACGAACCCCAAGTTTCTCACGGGAAAGTGGACGGGGTATTACTCTGAGCAGAGGGACTCGGTGCACGTGCGCTCGTTCGATCCGCCCATGCGCGATATCAACATCGTGGCGCGTGCGGCTGAGGGTGCGTCGGATGTGGCTGCTGTGATTGATCGGGAGACGAGGGGCGTGGATGCTCATGGGGAATTCTCACTCCAGGGTCGCGTCAAGAAGAATGGGCAGGTGGAACTGGTGAAGCGGTACATTGTGAGTGGGTGGACGTGGCCGTGGCTGGGTTGTATGACGCCGTTCGGCATTGCGGGGACGTGGGGAGACGCTTCGGATGAGTTTGACGAGTTTGATAGTTTTGGGGGCTACTTTTGGATTTGGAAGGAGGACTGGTGTGAAGGGGATAGGTGAGTACATGCAAAAGCGTATATCTTCAATTGTTCTTTCCGGTATTATATATAAAATGGGGGGGTTAAATTTACGAGGCAAAAAGAACTCAAGCTGTGTTTGGGGTATAATGTCCTTTGTACGTAAAACAAGAAAAAGAAAGGGAAACAGTCGAGTCTTTATCCAGAATAAGTCACTCTGCTTCCACATTCTCCGTCTCATCTAGGGCTTGCATAACCTCTTCCATTTCTTTGGGGCTAGTGATGCCCCACACGCCCCCTCCCTTGACGGACCCTTTCATTCCGACTTCTTTACCTACCAGATTCCTACCAACCTTGCCTGGCCCGATGCCCACATAGCGCATTATCTTCTCTTCTTCGTGTAGATACTTTACGCTCTTCCACCATTGTACTGTTTCGACACAACTGCGCGCGAGGAGGTCTTTGAGTTGATCCTTGTCGGTGAATGGTTTACCAGAAACATTGGATATGCACGGCAATATACCAGGCCATGTTACTATATCACGCCCGTTGTTGGTCTTGTTGTGCAGAATTTGCTTCATGGTCTCTTGGGCAGGCTTCATGAGAAGGCTGTGGAAGGGGGCGTCGGACTTGAGGCGAACATGGCGTGGATCGTGGCCACCAAATTGACGGAGATTGGTCAGCAGTGTGTTTATGCGAGCAATGCTTCCACTGAGTACAATCTGGTTCTTGGAATTGAGGTTGGCGATGGCGACTTGCTGGACGGCAGGGAGAGAGTCGTGGGAATCTGCTTTTGAGCCGAGTGCGAGAAACTCGTGTATGCCTTGGATGAGGGATTGCATGTGCTCCTCGGATTCACAGACCAAAGCTACCATGCCAAACTCGCCGCCTTCTTCTGCTACGGCCTCTTGGCTGCATTTGGCCATGACCTCTGCTCGCCTCCGCACCATCTTCAGTGCATCGCCAAAGGTTAGATAGCCGCCAGCGACGAGTGCAGCAAACTCTCCCAGAGAATGGCCAAGGGTGATGTCGACACGCTCGCCCGTCTTGAAACCAAACTCCTTTTCCAGTATGCGCAGGATCAGAATCGACGTGGCCATAATGGCGGGTTGCGCATTCTCGGTTTTTGTGAGCTCAGCATTGGTACCAGATTCTATGACTTTTGTAAGAGGAAGCTTGAGCGTATCATCGATTTCCTCGAGAATGGGTTTCGCGGTTCCGGGAAAGGCTTCTAGCCATGGCGTGCACATGCCCACGCGCTGGACTCCCTGACCTGGCTTCAATCAGTAGGCTGTTCCACGAGGACGAACATGGCGACGGAGGGGTACCAGGAAAGAAGATGGCCGTCTTTGGTCGCTTGCTTGGTGCATCTCGCACGCCGCTCATCCAGCGCCGTGGGGCAGGCGGGCAGCGGTTGACGGGCTGGCCGCATTGCATGCAGCGTCGCGACAGACGCGGGCATGCGTTGACGACGGGCGAGAGAGGGCGAGACATGGCGAAACAAGCGGCTACGGTAGTTCTGGAATCATGACTGAGAGACCATGTAATAAGATTCGCAGACATGCGGAGCTCCTGACGCGGGGGATTGGCGTGGACCCGGCCGCCCGGCTTAGTGCTAGTACTCCCCCAGTAACATTACCGTGGGGTTGCGGCGAGCCCCTCCCACGGCCGAGGTCCTGCTTTTGCTTTCACTTTCCCGCCCTCCCCACTGAACACTGCTGTTGCTACCATGACTCGCGTCACATGACATGTCCATGTATGCTATATATTCTGTATATTCAATCGGTACACATGCATAGTATGTATATATATACACATAACTCCGAATTGACCACAAAGCCATCATGCACCCTGTATGTTGAGCCCAGCATCAACCTGAATTCGCATACCCGTCATGCTGGTATTCTTCGCCAGCATCACAAACGCAGCCACACAGTCCTCCAGGAATGTTTCGTGCTTCAGGGCTGCATTCGCCTTGAGCGTTTTGATGCGCTCTTCCGAGTACTTGAGTCCCTAAGCATTGATCAGCATTGGTCAGTGGGCGGACGTTGTGCGGCAAGAGACGTATGCTTCATACCCATTCAGTCAACAGCAGGCCAGGAAGAACCGTATTGACGCGTATTGTGGGCCCAACAGTCACAGCAAGGCACTTGACCAGCTGCAATTGTGCTGCTTTTGTGACGGCATAAGGCATGCTGCTTCCTCCCTGGCCGATAGCCTATCATGCGTTAGTACCCATATACCAGCCAGTCAAGTACGTAGGCGACATACAGCAATACTTCCGGTCGTAATCATGTGGCCACCGTCAGGGTTAGCATCAAATGTGGCTCTTGCCTCGGAAAGCAAAGCCTTGGGCACTTTGACGTTTGCATTCCAGCACTTATCCCACTCCTCTTCCGACATGGAGTCGAGATCCTCCCACTCAGCGAAACGTGTCCATCCCTGGATTTCTGTCAGCTAGTATTCTATCGATGCAATACATCATTGTAGAATTGTGTGCATACCGCGTTTGAAATGATCAAATCAAGACCGCCTAGCTGCTTGATCGTCTCCTGAACTACTCGTCTCGCATCCGACGTCGACGTCATGTCCTATGATCCTTAGTCCTATTCGCACACTTCCAAGCCCAGGGCAAATCATACCGCCTTAATAACTACAGCTTTGACTCCCAACTCTTCACATGCTTGCTGTACCTTCTGCGCAGGCTCGAGGCGGTTAAAATAGTTAATGGCAATGTTGGCGCCTTCCTTGGCAAACGCCTTGCAGACCAGCTCTCCAAGACCACTAAGTAGGCAATTGTCAGCAATAATTCTCCGAACAACCAAGCCCGATACAGCCATTTGCTATCAAAGCTATCCCTCCTCGTCACTCACGCTGATCCGCCGGTCACAAGAACATTCCGATTTTTGAGGTCGTACGGCATCTTTTGCTGTTGATTGGCGGGTTTGGTCCGATTTTGGAATACAGCAAATGAATTGATTGCCTCGCGGAAGACTTGACAATGTCAGGTTAAGATGGAGAAGCCAAGTTCGAAGCAAGCGCCACAACAAGTATATATGTAGGTGTGGGGCAAATGCTTCCCGAGCTGTGTGCACACGGCAAAAGCACCCCGCCTCAGTCGTACTACTAGTAGTACTACGTACTTGTTCGGATCAGCACCACTACCTCGGCCCGCTTTGTCACACCATTACTGATGAAATAATCCAATCATCGGTCCCTATACACCCATTCCATACCACATCGGAAGTCTCCTTCGCAATGAGCAGCCATGTCCCGACATTCCGATTCGGGAGCTTATATCGACGCCATCGGAATAATGGTGGTCGGGCAACGCAAGGACCCTGACATTGTGACAAGTCAACCAAAGTCAGGTAGGCAAATGCAGGAGGATCGAGTTAGAATAAGCTGACTGAATTTAGAAAGACCTGAATCCACAAGACTGCGCACATCTGCCTTGGGTGTTTGCGATCTGTGAATGATGACTGGACCTTCAATTCTTAGTTAGCCGTTCTCTCTTTCCGCACGCTCATGTCTTCTTATACTACTTTCTGCCCTGGACTAATATATCCAAAACACTCATATTCACAGCAACCAAGACTACGACGCGAATGCTACTCGACAATATTTCTTTACGTGCATTGCGCTGAACCAGGGTTGAGTTGGACGGCCAGAGAGTATTTGCACCACTGGTGCTCGTGCCTGCCAAGAACTTTCGGCCATTGATCACGTCCGACCATCTTCGTTCTCAGTGCAGCACGCTTCTCTTCTCCCTTTCCTTCTCCCCCCACTCCCACATCTGGAGTCAACATTCTTTAGCCCTTAGATATGGATTCCATGGTCAAGGAATGGACAGTGCTTTTGGACCGTTGTTTGGAGCGCCGCGTCCAATCTGATGTTTTCGCTGCCGCAGTCGCGCAGCTACACGCCAAGTCTCCACTGCCAGGCCGGAAACTCGCCGCTCTGCTGCTTCGCCCACGCGTCGCAGACAACAGCAATATCGACCCACGCACTGTAATTTACCTCGAGCAACTCTTGTCGCTGAAGAAGCTTGATGCCTCGGACGTTTTGATTGTCGCACTTCTGTACTCCAAAGTCCGACTACCGGTCAAGACAGAAGAGAAGCCCTCAAAAGATGCAAAATGGAGCAATCCACCAGAATTGGAAGAACTCATTTTTCATCGTTTGCACAAGGTCTTTGCTTCAGAGGAACGTCCAGTCAACAATGTCGAGGCTGTGCATACCCTAGCTGTTGTAGCGCGATGGATGCAGGCAATGGTTACCTCGCATACCAGCGATACCATGATTCAGGCCATGGCTGGCATACAACAGCCACAACAGCAGTCCATCAACGTGCGAGAGGGTCTCGCGATGCTCGTGGTTGGAGTAATTGAGAATTCCAAAATCCTCCGAATTCTAAATCACCCAAAAGCCGAAGGTAAGCTCTCCTTGCTCGCAGACTCGAACATCTTTACAAAAGGGGTGAACCAGTTGGACACAGTTGTGGCAGAACTCGCACTATTGGACCAAATGTGCAGGCATAAAATTCACTGTCGCTGTCTGTGGTTGCCCTTGTTGATAAAACCCCTGTTTTGGAGCAGTGACTAGGCGATTTCATCCCACAATGACATTAAAGAATGGTACTCACAGTTGATTAGAGGTGCGCAAGGAACTCATGAAATCTCTCTCATCATTCATCCCATTTCTTTCAAACAACTCGGCGGGATCGCAGACATCTCTGTCGTTAGCAAACAGATTAGAGATCTCGCAAAAACAACACGACTTGTACGAAAAGCTTCCAAACGTCAATGGCGAGGGAAACGAGAGCGCTGGTCTTGAAGTTGCTGCACTTCAGCTTGATGCAGTAATGGAGCTGCCACAAGCGAATACACGGGCTGGTCTATACGTATTTCTGAATTCATTAGTAAGTCATCACGTTACTGACATTGTCCACTAGCCACTGACAGCCATAAGCTTGTTGCACGACCACTAACTGATGACTTTGTTATCATTAGTCACCTCCATACGCGTTACAAGCTAGAACCTCAGAACATGGCAACCGATCTAATCACGGCTGCTTTCGACATTCTCGCCAATGCCATGTACCGCAATGAGCCCACTCAAACCTTGTTCTATCTGAAATCTTTCTTGATCAACAAGATTCCTACTCTCCTAACGCAAATTTCCGGCTCGATATTTCCAATGACAGTTGAGATGTGTATCACTCAGGCGCTGAGCCACGTGGATCCAAACGCTTTCCCGTCTTTCTCGCAAGGCTTCGACGATATCATGGGAAGCAACAATTCTCTTTCAGATGTCAGGCAGGACTATCTCAATGCCTGTGTGCTCCATGGTCTCCTGCCAGCGGGTACTGTGGAGCGCCTCTTAGGGGAAGCACCTATGCAAGGACCACCCGCAAAGAGATACGAGAGGAAGGAATTGCTCAACCAGTGTAAATCTAATTTCGACAAGGTCAGCGTATACATTGATGAACTCGAGAATCTTGATGGGAACGCTGGCGCCATTGTTGCAGCTGTGGCAGACGTATGGTCCAATCCCTCTTACGTGTGATATAACATACTGATTCGGTCATAGTTCATTTCACATCTCTGCGATACACAAACGACTATGTATCTCAAGCAACTTTGCTGTTTGATTTTCAAGAAACCCCAAGCAATGGATGTGATGCTACAATTCACCTCCCCGGCGAGCATACTACAACCGTTGTGCCAGTTTCTGGAAGACTGGCATTATGATAGCGATCAAGGTAAGACCCTAGTCGAAAACAATGCGTGTGGTCTCTAAATAGAACAGGTGAATACCAACCCTTATATGACGAGTTTGGCGCTATACTTGTTCTTGTCATGGCTTTTGTATACCGCTATGATCTGGTATACCATGACATCGGAATTGCTCACGATACATTTATCGCGAAACTATTGCAGCATGGACACCACAGTATACCGCCAGATGAGTTGACCGAAGAGCAGGGCAGACATCTTGGAAGCTGGCTCAAAGGTCTCTATGACTCGGATAAGGAAGGCTTGAGTAACGAAGTCTTTGCGTCGTGTCGACCGCAAGAGTTTTACTTGATCGTACCAACCCTTTTCCATCAGACAGTGGTGGCTTGCTCCCTAGGTGTTTTGTCTTTTGAAACCGTCAAAGGTGGTCTAGAATGTAGGTTCACTCCAAATCCACCATTTTTCAATGCAGAAATGCTGACAACCGTTTAGATCTGGGTGAAACATTCCTCATGCCGTCGCTAATCGGAGGCTTGACCTGGATGGCTTCCTATGCCCTATTGCAGACCCACAACGACCTGGACGCAATGACACGCATTTTCAACGCGATTTTACTCTCCGCACCGTCATCCGGAGACGCACAGGCTATGCACTCCACTATCATAGCAATGGTATCAAGCCGCCTGGAGAAGTGCTTTCGTACACTGCAGCGACGAGAACCGAATCGCAACAACTTCGACTCCTTTTTGCAAGCCATCAAAGTGCATGCGCATTATGAACGCACCGTGTTTGCCACCATGAAGGAGCTGGATCAATGGACAAATGCGCCCAACAGCACATTGAATACTTCACTGCGACACACAGTGCAACAGCTCTCACAATGGGCTTCAACGGCTTCGATGCAACCAAACCCGCCAAGCTACACACACCGTCAATTATATGCTTCGTTGAAGATGCTGGGTGCGGCCCGGACATTACGGGCTATTGTAGACGAGGTGAAGACGCAGACTGACAGCGGTAATGGAGCAGCGGCACTCGATGTTGGGGTATCCATAATCTGCGCGCCAACTGTTGAGGACAGCCCCATCTCGGTAGACTGGGTTGGAAGCACAGTACCAGCGCCCACACCGCAGCGAACGCGTATGAACCTACGGGAGATGCTGAAGCAGGATTTCGACAATGCAGCCAGCCTAGTCGCTACCGACCCCTTGGCCGCGGAGACAATAGTGCGCTTACACCGGCGTGTCGAAGCACACTTTACATCGCTAGCGGAGAGCGGGCTCCAAGCACCTCCAATCAACATACCAAGCGTAAACATGGCAGACATGCAATCGCAATCCATTTCCGAGCACCTGAACCGCGCCATGGATGACGCCGCAGCCGCAAGCATGGTCGAGGATATTTCCAACATGGATAACAAGGCACTCCAGCGCAGCATGGACGAGCTTGCCAGCACTGAGGGGTTGGACCTGTCAGGTATCGGTATGGGTAATGGCGATGCAGGAACTGGCGATATGAGCACGGATCTGGGTAACTTGCCAGACCTGGACCTGGGCGATATGGGAGGTATGGGCATAGACATGGACATGAACATGGACATGGGCGGAGGCGGAGGAGGCGATGATGACTGGGGACTTGATTTTGACAACATGTAGATGATGGTTATACTGTAGCATGTTGTGAAGCATTGATAGAAGGGCTTGAAATATGTATTGGCTAGTTAGACTCCGTTTGGGTACAAAGTAAATGTATTCTTCATCTGAGCAGTAACTCCTTTGGCTCTGATTCATCTTCAGCTGCTTGATCAGCCAACTACTACTCTACCTTTTGCAATGCAACACTGTAAAAAAAAGGGGGGGGGGCAGGACATGCAGATTCAAACAAGACGCGAGACGAATATCAAGATTGGTATTGAACAGAAGCAGCAGCAAAAGCAAGACAAAAACTGAGAGAGAGGAAAGAAAAAAAAAACAGGGGATACACGCATATACAAGTGCGAGTCTAAACCAAAATATAAGCATGACAACTTACTTGCCGCGGAGGAACCCCCCGCATGGGGCGGATGACCTCAAAGATGTGCTAATGCGTAAAAAAAAATATATCAGACCATTGCCTCTTCCCCCCCAACTCCTTACACTAACCCCAACTCCGCCCTCCCCCCCAACCCCCCATCCCCTTTTACGTCAAACAAAGTTTTGCAGGTCGGCTAAAGGAGAAGAAAGAAAGAAAGAAAGAAAGAAAGAAAGAAAGAAAAAAAACAGAAGAATCTCAGAACGCTCGACGAACAAGAACAGGCAAGTCTGGAAATGAACAATGCAAAAATGGAGCAACCAGATGCGGGGGGGAGGGAGGAGGGGGACGCGAAAAAAAAGAGGACGAGCGAACGAACCCCAGACCACCGCCTAAAACTCCAGACGTTTTGTTTTTTTTGGTTAAAAAAAAACAGGGTCTTTGTGTATGTGTATATATATATCAGTAATCATGTAGGAGTTAAGATTCACGACTCGCGGCGCTGGGGCGGCGCATCCTCTAGATGCTGATCGCCATCACCCGCATCTGGGGCCCGCGGACCAACCATCCAATCCTCCATGGCGAGCCACTGACTCCACGTCTTCTCTGCGCCCTCAATCTCGGCGAGTTGGACTTCTTGGAGGGGCTTGAGAAAGGGGACGGATTCATGAGGCGACATATCGTACTGGCACTTTACCTTGGCCCAGCCGACGCTTTTGGCCGTGAAGAGGTAGTTGCGGCGCTCGCACTCGTGCATGGGGCCAACGCCCTTGCGCCAGTCCTCGCCGAAGAAGCCGTGCATGATGCCTGCGCTGTCCATGCCCGTGACGACGAGGCGCCGGATAAAGGGTACGAGCGAGACCCAGGCGGGCGGCGGTGCCGCCGGCTGCTGCTGCGCGTGGTGCGCGTGGTGGAGTCCTACTCCTCCTCCTCCG